AAATGGGTCCATTTTTCGTTTTTTTTGTTTTTTTTTTTTCTTTTTCCCCTTCATTTCAACGCAGCCCACCTCCCCATCTCCGCACAGCGCGGCTGCAGAAGATGGCAGCGGGGCGGGGGGGGGAGGGGGGCGAAGGAAGGAAAAAGCGCAGCCCCCCCTCCTCGTGCCGCAGCCCCCAGCCCCACCTGCCGCAAAGAAAACGACCAAAAACGGCCAAAAGAAAAAAAAAAAAAAACCCGAACCCCCCACCGGGGGCGGGGCGCACCTGCAGCCGCAATGCCCCCCCCCCCAACCGTTATCGGCTGTCACATCGCGACACGACCGGGGGGTGCTCTAAAGCCGCTTTAGGTGATGGCCATCCCCCCCCGAACCCGCTGCCCATCCTATAGCGGCATATCCCCCCCCCCCCCCAGTTCCTACTTGCCGCTGTTTTGCTGTCCGCACCGGAGCTGCACGGTGAAGTGACAGCGGCGGGGGGCGGGTCGGGAGGGGAGGGGGCGCGCGCGAGCTCCGGAACCTTCGCCGAGCCGGCGGGGGGGGGGGAGGTGAGGTATAGTGCGCATGCGCCACGCTGCCGGTGCGCTCCCCCCTCCTTCGGTCCCAGCGCGGAGCTGGCCGGTGAGGTGTGCGCATGCGCGGTGTTGGGCGGTGTGTGTGAGGGCGGGGCCGCGCGCGGCCCCGCCCAGCAGGGAGCGCTCGCGCGCTGCCCCACAGCCGCCATTTTGTTGCCTTCCCCACATCTCCCACCTTTTGCTCTCCTTTCCTCCCTGAAATCCACTGAAATGTTTTGGTCACAACAACCCCAGGCAACCCTACAGCTTGGGGAGGAGTTCCCTGATGGAAAGGGACCTTGGTGTGCTGCTGGCTGAATGTGAGGCCGATGGCATCCTGCCTTGGATCAGGGAAGGTGAGCAGGACTGTAGGAGTCATCCTGCCCTGTACTTGGCACTGGTGAGGCCTCACCTGGAGTTGTGTGTTCAGTTTTGGGCAGCTCAGAACAGCAAGGAATGGAGGTGCTGGAGCAGGTCGGAAGAAGGGCAACAAGGCTGTGAAGGGCTTGGAGAATATGGCCTATGAGGAGAGATTGAAGCAACTGGGGCTGTTTGGCCTGGGGAAGAGGAGGCTGAGGGGAGAACTGTCTGAAAGGTGACTGCAGTGAGATTGGGTTGGTTTCTTCTCACTGGTGACGGGATGAGGGGAAATGGCCTCAAGTTGCACCAGGGGAAGGTTTAGGTTGGTTATCAGGAAAAAAACTTCTTACAGAAAGGGTTGTGAAGCACTGGAATGGGCTGCCCAGGGGGGTGGTGGAGTCAGCATCCCCGGATGTGTTCACAAAGCACCTGGATGTGCTGCTCAGGGCCGTGGGTTAGCAGAGGGTTGTGAGTTGGGGGAGTATGGAGAGGTTGCAGTTGGACTTGAGGGTCTTTAAGGTCTTTTCCAACCTCAGCAATTCTATGATTCTACATCCCTCTGATTGGATTTAGTGGAGAAACTGCAGGATCTCCTGTTGGGCTTGGCTTCAATCTGTTTGTTTTCTTCTTTCCAGGAAGCATTCTGCTGTATATGAGGGCCAAAAGCACCCCCCAAGTGCATCTAGAGCCAAGGAGCAGCTCTGTCCTGCCTGGTTTTGAACTGTTTTGGAAGTTCTGCTACAAGTTGGTCAGATAATATTCCCAGGGTTAGCAAACCTGTGGAAGAAATCTCCCTGCTTTGTGGCTTGTAAGATAGATACTCCTGTATCTGTCCTTGTGGCTCGGCGCAAGCAGCTCCAGCCCAATTCTGGAGCAGCAGCTCTTCCTACAGGCAGCACAGACACAGCAGGAGCACTGACTGCGGATCAGCTGAGCACCCTCTGATGGTGCTGTTCCTTCCTCCAAAGGGGGACAAAAGCTCATGTTTGCTGAATTGTCTCAGGTTACCCAGCACTGGGAGCCTTCAGCATTCAGGAAACCACAGGCTGGGAAGTATTTACAGTCCTTGTGATGCTCAGGTACTGCCTCCCTTTCCACAGCCTGGCTATTTGAAAGATCTGCTGGCAAAGGCTGGTCAGTAATGAAGTGTGACAGCACAGCCAGCCTGCAGCAAGCAGCAGAAATGGAAGGATCCATGTTAGAGGGGCAACAAGTGGGAAAGGGCTCTGCTTGCTGCAAACCCATCACCTTGATGCACAACCCTCTGTGCAGCAAGGTGCTCACATTGCACCGTGCCTGGGGCAGGAGCACAGCGATCCTCCCCCTCAGCACCATGAGGAGAGATTGAAGCAACGCTGTTCAAGCTGGATGGATGGAGGATGCTGCTGCAGCAATACAGAATGCTACAGAACAGCTGGAGCAGCCCAAGTCCCGAAGTGCAGCTGAGCTCCCACGTGGCAGGAGCGCACAGTGACAGACAGACCTTACCCTGGCTGTGGGACTGGAGAGGAGCACCCTGCAGACATTTATTACCTGTAAGTACAGCAGCCTGACAGCTGGAGTGGGCTTTAATTACTGCAGAGAGCTCTTCTGGGCACTTCTTGTTCATACAGTCTGTTTGCTCGTGGAAGAAAGGGGACCTGTGAATCAATCTTACAATTGAACTCAGTCCAGGCTCGCTCTCACATACATTCCTTTAGGTCCATGGTGCTGCTAGCTAGAGACCAGACAATGTTTAACATCGAATTACAAAGGTATCCTTTAAGAAGGAAAGCAGCAAGTTTATATTCCACTCTGCTTCCCCATTCATAACGTGGGGCTCCTTTTCCCCTTTTTATAACTTGTTTCACCACTGCAGCCGGGTTTTCCTGGAAGGCGCTACAGAAGGTGAAACAGTTTCTGAGGTCCGGGCCGCAGCGCCAGCTGCCCTGCAGAGCTGCAGCTGTGGGATGAATTCTGGGTTACAGTGGTTTTAAGCCTGACCTCCCCAGAGCCTTATCTGTCTGCAAGCTGCTTCATTTCAGTCACTTAATTCAGATTAAGGATGGCTTTTGCCAAACCATAATGATCCTAGTTGAAATAAATACTCAAATTCTGCGCTAGCTTGATTCCATTACCCTGCTACCCAGATCCCTTTTGCAAGCCGGCCATTAAACTTCACCTAAAAAAGGAAACAGCCCGATGGTTTGCAAAATGCTTTCCAGCAAGGGGACGGCATTGATCTCTCCCAACCCATTGCGGGTGCGATGGCAGAGCACACAGAAAGCCTTCCTGCAGCACAACCGGCCGTGCTGCGTCAGCCCTGCGCGCCGTGAAGCTTCTCCACGGAGATGGCAGAGCAGGGCTGGGTGCTGCACAGCGGTTTCCCAGCCCTGCTTCCAGGCTGTCAGGAGCAGCAGGAGAGCAGCATTCCTGCTCTGAGCAGACCGGGCTCACGCCAGCCTTACCCAGCAGCTCAGCCTCTGCGTGCGAGCAGCTCAGGAGGGGATTAGAGCTCAGCTGGCTCCGTCCCCCACAGGTTGGGACCAAACGCGCAGATTTACGGCTGGGGCTCAGGGCCCCCCAGCTAGCTTTATTTCTTCTCACAGCAGCACGGCCCTGCAGCCCCTCGAGGGCCAGGATGGGGATCAGACACGCACACAGGGTGTGGGCAGGCAGCAGGCTGTGACTCAGCAGAAAGAGCCAGCCGGGTCCTCGGGGCTAAAGGAGGGGAAAGCAGCCTGCAGAGCCCTGCCTCGCACGCTTCCCTCGTGCCCCCACCCCAGCTGGGAAAAGATTATTCCTTTTTTCTCCTCCTCCAGCAGTGTGGGAGGCACGCAGAGCCCAGCACCTACAAACAGAAGATAAGACGCAGTGCCTCTAAGATTATTATTATTATTTTTGTTTGTTTGTAATTAATCATTGGTCTGTTTCTAAATTCCACTCGAGGGCTTTCCGGATCATTGAAATGCTGTGCTCGAGAGGCTGAGTTACCGGTTAGGAAGTTCCAGGATGCGCTGCCTCGTTATGCGACCTTGTGGGAATTGGGATTGCTTCACATCCTCACTTCGGAGGGTCAGGACTCGCTTTAATTGATTTTAACTGATATCAGGGCAGGAAATGCCTGCAAAGTTCTCGCTGCTGTCCGTGTCTGTACCCGAGCCCCACTTTGCTCCTGTGCAGCGTGCTGGGCTCTGCAGCGCCTGTCCCCTTCTTGCCACAGGATGGCACTCGCAGGGGAGCAGAGATGCGCACAGACACCGGCACAGCCTCAACTCTGAGGCTGAGGCAGGGGAGACTCGAGCCCTGCTGCAGCAGTCTCAGTGACATCGTTGCACTGCTTCTCACACGCACAGCGATGGAGGAGCCTGGACTGCAGGAGGACACACGGCTGGAGAACCCTGCCCTGGTCCTGGCTCTTCTGTGCAGGACGCACGCTGGCAGCCTGCAGGGCTGGGCAGGGCCAGCTCAGAGCCCGTCCCACCGGGGCAGGGCAGGCTGGGGGCCCGAGGGGCTTCAACAGCCGCCTGCTGCCACTGCAGCTCCAGGCAGCACCTCCTGAAGCAGGGAGCCTGCAGCTCTGCGCCCATCCCCTGTATCAGGGCAGAACCAAAAGCATCCTTCTGAGATGAAAAGGCCAGCAGGAACAGAGCTGTGCCGAAGAGCTCGCTTCTTCGTGTTCCCACTCCTTGGGAAACAGCAGCACGTTCAGTGCAGCACAAAGAATATTACTGTGCAGCGATATTATTATAATTATTATTGTAATAGTGCACAGAGAGGATCTCAGCCTCTCAAGCAAACCCCCATCCCCTCACAGAGCAGGAGAGGCAACAAGGAAGACTCCTGTTACCTGCAGGTGCCTTGGGGGCCTCACTTGTAAGCCCAGCAGCACATTTTTAGCTGCATTTTCCTTTGCAAGGCCAGAGGAGGGACTGAGGAGCCTCCTCGTCACGTCAGCTGCTTGTAAGGGGAAGACCAGCAGCTGAAGGCCTCAGCAGCTCCTCTCCCTCTCATCTTCAGCCCCAGAAGGAGGTTGGGCTGTGTGAGAGCACCCACAACAGCCTGCTGGCTGCACTCTGCTTGTTCCCCAGCTGCAGGATGGCCGCACAGGCTCTAACTGGAGCAGTGCCTCCCGAGGTGCTGCCCTGCCCCCGGGGCAACATTCTTTTGCTCAGGCAAGCCTCCAATCCCTGCCACCTGCACCCAGTGCTGCGTGTGCACAGACGGGAGCACCGCTGCTGCTCACCCAACAGCGCGAGCGTTGCGAGCCCCGCGCACACCTTGACAGCGCCGGAACTGTGAGTGTGTCGGCCCAGCGCTTGCAGGGTGCGAGTGTGCAAGGCGTGCTTCTACCGTGCGTCCCTGCCAGCACGACGAGCGTGCGGAGCCCCTCCCGCCAGCTCAGCCGCCCCGCTGCCGCCCGCAGCCCCCCACGTGCCCGTGTCCTCCAGCCCGGCAGGGGGCGCTGCGTGCCGCAGGGCGCATGCGCAAGGCCGTGGCTGCGGGGCGGAAGCGGCGCGGGGCGGCGTAGAGCAGCGCGCGGCACCTATGGGGCTCCTTAAAGGCGCCGCCACCAGCGGTCCTTCCGGTGCTGGGGGACGGCAGCGCCGCTTGGGGCCGGCATGAGCAGGTGGGGGCGGTCCCGGGACACCCCTCCGCGGCCCCCTTTGGGGTCCCGGCTGCCTCATTTTCCCCGTGGTGGTGGGAGAGACGAGGGGAAGTCAAGGTTTTGGTGGGGGTGGGGGGAGTGCGAGCACCGGGAGGGGGGGAAGAGTGCCGGGGAAGGGGGGGGGGGCAAAAGTTTGGGGGTTGCGTGGGGAGTGCTTAGCCCGAAGGTGGGCAAAACTTGGGGGCGGGGGGGTCAGAGGGGCGTGGCGGGGGCTGGGAGCTCTCACGTTGAGGGGGGGAGGGGGAGGGTGGTGGAGCACCTCTGTGTCACCTCCAGCTGCGTGCCCCCGAGTGAGATGCTGCCCCTGGGGTCCTTCCGTGTCCCTGGGGTTCAGTGGGGGCTCTTCGGGCCCTGCAGGCTGTTGTCCCTTGCCTTAATTGCCGGCCTTCGTTGTCCTCGCGTCTTACTGCAGTGCTGGCAGTAGGGTGCCCCACAGCAACACATCTGTGTTCCCCCGGGTGCTCACGGAGCCCCACAGCTGCTCCTCATCCCCTTAGCTGTGCTTGTGGGGCTGGCAGTGCGCAGCACGGCGTTTCCCCCACTCCCATTACCCCTGGAGGGAAGGGCCCTGCTGGCACAGCACAGCACCGTTCCCTGCCCTGAGCCCTTTCCACCAGCCTGCTGTGCTGACCTTGCAGAACTGCTGAGTCAGATGGCAAAGGCAATTTGGACTTTATTTTTTTAAGCTCTGTTCTGTGTCGAATTGTGCCTGGAAATCTGTCTGCTGCTCGAGTGCGTTCTGGCTGGCAGAACTCTGCTGCCTGTCCCCTGCTGAGATCCCTGCTGAGCCCCTGGGTGCAGACCCCATAGCAAAGGGTGCACTGCGCCCAGCTCTGCCCTCACTGACACTTTGCACCTCCAAGCCCTTTGCTGAGCTCTTTCTGCACCCTACACCTCCTGGGCTGCACCAAGCTGGGGCCAGGAGGGGGCTGCAGCGTTCTGCTCTTTGCACTTTGTTCCCTCCCGTCCCTTAACGTCCCCTCCTGGGAGGACGCAGCACCTCCTCCCCTTGGGCCCTCAGCCAGCAGCTACTGCTGTTATCGGGGCCCGGTGGCCCCAGGAGGGTCCCCCCTGATTACAGGGTGCAGGCAGCAAGGAGGGGGCCGCCCTCCCTGTGTGGTGCTGATAGCAGGGCTGGGGTGCAGCACGGGGGTGCTCCAGACAGACCCCCAGCCCCAAGATGGGCACTTACTGGGCTGGGGGCGTGGGTGAAGCCCCCTGAGCATGCTCTGTGTTACAGGAGGGCAGTACCATGGCTGAGAAGACATCGCCGGACCCCAGCGGGGCCATCACACCCCTGCAGCAGATGTTGGCCTCTGGGACGGGTGCCATCCTCACCTCCCTCTTTGGTGAGGCCTCGGGAAGGTGGGGGGGGGGGGG